CCCCCTTATGTGTTTTTTNGAACTTTCAAAACTTGTGGAATGACGACCCGCCAGGCCGGGCTGGGCCTCCAAAATTCGGGAAAAAGCCCGGCCCGGCCCGGCCCGTTACAAGTATGGAGTAAAAGCGCGCGAACTCAAACTTTTATTTTTTTTTTTGCTCGGTTTCACTGTTTTTTTCAAGTTTTCCGATGTATCTGGAAGAAAAATTGACAAAAACCTTGAAAAATCTTGAAAAAACGAAAAAAGGTGAGAACGAGCGAAAAAAATTTAAACGTTTGATTTCGCGCGCTTTTACTCACCGGGCGGCCTAGAAAAAAAGCTCGTCCCTAAGTGCTTTCAGCGTATTTTTCGATGCGTTTTTCTAGATGAAGGAATTTTTTTTAATATTTTCTTTATTTTTATGCCAATCTACATGCATTTCTGCACATTTTGATGCAATAAAAAATTTCACCGTATACCACCTTTAAATAAATATTCCAGTCAGAATTTCACGAAAATGGCCGGAATTTTCGCTATTCCGAACTCCGTTCTGAACATCTCTGCTTAGGAACTAGTCTTGTCATAATGCTTACCATCTGATTCAATAAAAAACCTTTTTTGACTTCGAATAATCATACCCGAGCAAAGTCTTATTCAATTTGCCCCCGCGACGCTTCTTTTCTCGTTTTGTTTCACACAAATAGGACACATCACCAAAATGAACTTTGCAGGAGGAGATGATGAGAAGACTGCAATGACTACAACACCGACGACGACTCAATTCCCATCCTCATCATCGTCGGAGTTACCCGGAGTAGTAGGAGGAGGAGGAAGTGGAGCACTTGTGGTAAATCGACGACGACAAGAAGGCAACCCGGTGCTCAAGTACGTGCGAAATGTGCGTTACGAGTGGGGTGACATCGGACCTGATTTCGAGTGCGGACCCACGTTCGGAGTTGTCTATCTCAGTTTCAAGGTATGGTAAAGTTAAACGAAGTACTTAGTTGTTTGGGAACAGTACTGAATAAGCATCTGCCTTTGCAAATCTACCGTAATCTTCGAAATTTAATAAGAAAGTTGTACTGTAACATTAATATTTGGAACGATATTTATTATCCTTGTCTGAGAAAAAAACAGGTTGAGACGCAGAGAAGAAGTGTCTGTGTCTCTACCTTATGTGTGCTATTTAGGCTCTCCGCTTCGATATCGCTACCGTATTCAGACTGCAAAAAATACTCTCTAACCTTTTTTTCTCAGACAAGCATAATACATGAATCTAGCAGTGACTACAAGAAAACTGGAAGTGTAGAAAGTGAGAAAACTGAGAAATCGTGTGGAAATTGGAAAAAGCACACTCATACACAAACAGACAGTAAACAGGCTGTCTTTCTTCTCTACACTTCTCCAGAATCTTTGTTTGTGGAAAAGATTTTACGGAACGGAGTGAATGTCCATAACCTAGCAGGAAGGAAACCACCTTAAAACACTTTGACTTTTGAACTTACAAGACAATCGCAATGTGTCATTATTATAACCTATTTCGCCTTTCAGTACCACAAACAACATCCGGAATATGTGTACACGAGAATCAATGGAAAAGCAGAGAATCGGTATAGAAACAAGGTAGGTGGGAGGAAAGAATGAAAAGAAGAAGAAGAAACAGAAACAATAGGTTGAAAAGATAATTGCTGTCGTTTAGGTGCTGCTGGGCTATTGCAACATGGAAGAGCCACGACATGTGCTCCGTGAGCTCAATATGATCTGTTTCCGCGAAGCTTGGACTCTCGTTGTTGTCTACACGGTATGAGGGGGTTTTGTACTTCAAAATGAACTACTGATCCCATAGCTGTTATGCTCGAAAAAACGGACTTGACTAGGCTTTGGCTTAAGTCTCAAAAATCGAAAAAAACATCATCACATATCCTCAAAAATTCAATTTGGCAGGTCGAGGAGGCGGCTGAGTACATTGAGCTTTTCAAGACGACACAGAAAAAGGAAATTACGGTCAAGTGAGTTTCCGTTATTCTTTTAACATAGCGTCACTAGTTTCGAGACCGATCGAACACAAATAGAAAAATCTTATTTCCATAAAAATTGTAAGTGGAAAAGAAGCTTTGGGGAAGTGTAACATATTGAATAATGTCGATATGTGGATCAAATGACAACTTGACAAAAAAAAGAGAAGCAGATGATAAATGTTAGGCTGGGAGGAACACATTCAACAACATGTCGGCAGCATAAGAAAAAACTCGAACGAAGACGGAAGACAACATCTGCTCCGCATATTTTACCCTACAACTTTTTTTGTTCGTCGCGGCATCTCCCATCGTCGGTCGCAGTTGCTGTTTGGGTCCGTCCCTTTTTGTTTTCAACACAAAAATTTATGTCGTCGTTTCTGTGGGCTCTGGGAGCAACAGCAATTTGCGGACGGAGGAAGCACTTTGGGATAATTTTATGGGTGCTGGGAAACGTAAAATACGAGAAATGTAGGCGAGCTAAGTGAAGACGATAAACGGGAAAAAATAATAAAACAGGATCAGGAGTCGGAAGGCTCGGAGCTTTGGTTTATGGAGATTCTGAGCTTCTCGAGATGGGGGAGAATAGAATTCAGTGCACACATTCTGGGGGCCTTTTTGATATCTCGAATACTTTTCTAGATCCTAATAATCTGAAAGCCAATTCTACATTCCAGGAAAAAAGCAATCGATGATGGAGGTGACAGTTCGATGAGCGATGAACGTCGGAGGAACCGAGAAACGGCCATCGGATTTCTGACCGCCGCGAGGAGTATCACAAAAACTGATGCCGATCGGTGAGAAAAACACTCAAAACACATGTGAAATCTGATAGTTTTTCTTGAAATCTGGTGATCATCTTCAGTCAGTTGCCAGAAAGCGCAGCTGATGGAAAATGACTCATTCTGAAAAAGTTGTATTATTCTGGTACAACAAATCGGAGCTGTGGAAGAGAAACATCGGTAGCCATGATCGAAGGTTCCACATCGACAACTACCGTAATCTGAAATTTTGTTTTTCAGATTTATTATCTCGATTTTCGTGTTTTCGGTTAATTTTTTTCATTAAATATCAAAAATTTTTTATTCTGAGTTGTTTGATGAAAAATAACAGAAAACTGCGACGAAAAGCAATGAAAATCGAGAAAATATTTTATTTCGGAAAAATATTCCGGTTACGGTAGTTGTCGTTGTAGAATCTTCGACCATGGCCGTCTGCGTTTCTTTCCACAGTTTCAGTTTTTCGTACCAGTATAATAGGTGCGTCACAGTTTCATCAGTCTTTTCAGCGAATCAGTGCACATAAAATCGAGCGGCAGCACGGTTTACCAAGAAACTCTGCGCACTGTTTCAAGTTTTCGTTTCATTCAAACGCTCGATTTTCGTCAGATTGCGTTTGACTTCCTATGATGCTGTAGGAAAACTCCGAAATTTGACCATGGCCGAGTTTTCCAAAAGCGAAATGCAATACTGCTCCATAGTTCTGTCTTGAAGTCCTCTCGGACAATCTCATTTTACTCTGCTTTCCAGACTTCTCTACCACTTCGGCACGCTTCAAGAAATTTCAACAGCTTCAGAAACTGCAATTTCAGCATGTCCAGGAGTTGGACCAATTAAGGCAAAAAACTTACATTCTTTCCTACACACCATTGTTTCGGCAAACGATCAATAAGAATCAAGTAAATATTGAATTGTAATTATTGTAGTGGAATTTCGTAATTGTCCTTTTTCTTCAATCAGGTTTTGAACATCTTTTAAAAAATCAAAGATCATTTTTCTCACAATCTCTACCCTACATTGATTTGTATCTGTATCATATTTTTCCCCCATTAAATAGTATCATTTATTGATAAAGACAATCGCAATATTCTTTTTCTTTTTCAACAACTTTCTTCATCAAATGAGTAATATTCTTCGTCGCTGAACTATTGATTTCTCCACAGAAGTTTGCAATCATTTATCAAAATCTATCATTTTCAGCAGAAATGTCGGACGTTCCTGAAGATGCTAATGCCGGTTGTCCTGGAACCGGAAGCGCTGGAGCCGGAAAAGCTTCGGGATGTGCAGGGTGTCCAAACCAGGGAGCGTGCGCCACTGGTCAAGGACCACCACCAGATGCAGATGTTCCAAAGATTCAGGATAGATTCAGCAGAATTAAGCATAAAATTCTGATTTTGAGTGGAAAAGGAGGTGTTGGTAAAAGTACTCTCACATCAAACCTGGCTCGCGCTCTTGCCTCGGATCCATCGAAACAAGTTGCAATTCTTGACGTTGACATCTGTGGACCTTCTCAGCCAAGAATGATGGGAGTAGAGGATGAAGAAGTACACAACAGTGCTGATGGATGGACTCCAGTTGGAATTCAACCGAATCTCACTCTAATGAGTATCGCTTTCCTTATTGGAGATAAAAACGACGCAGTCATCTGGCGTGGAGCTCGTAAAAACGGAATGATCAAACAGTTTTTGAAAGATGTCGATTGGGGAGAGGTGGACTATTTGCTTATTGACACTCCACCTGGAACATCCGACGAGCACATTTCGTTGGTCCAGTTCCTTCTTCAAGCTGGTCCTTTGGATGGTGCTCTGATTGTGAGCACACCCCAAGAAGTCTCGCTTCTTGATGTTAGAAAAGAGGTAAGGACAATTGTGTTATTAGAAAACCAACGAACATAATATTTTTCAGGTCAGTTTCTGCATCAAAACAAAAGTTCCAATCCTTGGTGTTGTCGAAAATATGGCTCGTTTCGTCTGCCCCAATTGTGCTCACACCACTCTTCTCTTCCCAACGTCTACCGGTGGAGCTGAGAAGATGTGTGAGGATTCGAATCTTGAACTTCTCGCCCAACTACCACTGGAGCCTGCTCTTGCGGAGGCACTTGATAATGGAGAAGACTTCTTTGAAACCAATCCAGATTCAACTCTCGCAAAATCATTCATGGATCTTGCCGAAAAAGTCAAAGCAAAGCTTCATTAGATATTCTGAATTTGATATTCCAGATTTGTTAATTTTTGATTTCCACTTGTTTGCATGTTGTGAGTTTTCACTTTTTCTTCTTCTGTTGACAATAAGTATATTCCGAAATGAAAAGTGCATTTATAATTATCTCATGAACTTTTAAAAAAAGGATTCACAGTGTTTCATCGATATTTCAATGAACTTGAATTTTGAAAAATGATGAAATGACTATCCAGATGCACCGGGTGGTTGTAACAGGAATGGGCGCTATCTCTCCATTTGGGGTTACAGTAAATGCCTTGAAAAATGGTTTGAATGAAGGGAGAAGTGGTTTGAAATACGATGAAGCACTGAAATTCGTAGTCGGATCGGTACCCGGAGAACGAGTAGAAGATCGGTGGGCAGCTGGTCAACAAAGAGAAATGAGTAGGGCCAGTATGTTTGCATTAGTGGCATCAGATGAGGTATTCTTGACTATCCCAAAATTCGAGAAAGTATTCGTTTGATTTCAGGCTTTATCACAAGCAAATGCTCAAAATCTCGATCACGATGAAACTGCAGTGAACATTGGAACATGTATGTCAGATCTCGAACATATTGGAGAGACAGCACAAAAAGTAGCAGAAGGCCAAACTAGAAGAGTTTCTCCATATTTCGTTCCACGTATTCTGAATAATCTTCCTGCTGGATACGTTGCTATGAAGTTTGTGTCAAGACATTTTCTTAAATGTTGACATTGATTGGTTTCCAGTAGAGTGTCGTCTCGCGAGAAATTTCCTGCATGACTCGCAATTTCTTGCTTTTGTCTCGTCTTGACGGGTCTTGTCTTGTCTTGCATAAATGCTTGTCTTGCCTTGCGTTCGCAAATGCTCGTATTGTCTCGTCTTGCAATTTCTCGTTCTCGCAAAAGCTCGCAATTTCTCATTTCACGTGCAAGACTCGCACTTCTTATGCGAGTCTTGCAAGTCTCGCAATTTGTCTCGCATAATACACCTATTTAGGTCAACATTCGTGAAAAAGTGTTAACGTGAAAAATAAATTCAAAAAAAATTCCAAACTTCCAAAAAACCCTTTTCGCCGATCCACAAAATGATATTCCACTCCGGAAATGAGAGATATTCCACTCTGGAAATGAGAGATTTTGAAGGTTTTGAAGCTCTGAATGCGACGAATTTCAAGATTCTGGCCCTTATACGCAAAGACTTTTACTTTTATGAAATCCAAATTCCTGATTCCGGATTTCCGGATTACCGGTGTACCAGGTTTTCGAATTTCTGGTTTTCTGGATTTCTGAATTTCCGGATTACCGGATTACTTGATGAATCCAGAAATTCGAAATTCGAAAGTTCAAGAATCTGGAATTCCGGAAACCTGGAAATAAAAAATCCTGAAATTTCAGGATTTTTGATTTTCGGGTTCCCGGATTTCCGGATTTCCAAATTTTTGAATTTTCGACTTTTTTGTTATCCTGGATTGTCGGATTTATGGGTTTCTGGATTTCAGAATTTCAGGATTCTTGATTTCCAGGTTTCCGGAATTCCGGATTTTCAAATTTCAAATTTCTGGGTTTTCGCAGCTCGAATTTCTTGATTCATCCGGTAATCCGCTTTTCAGAAATACAGAAAACCAGAAATTCGAAAATCCGGTAAACCGGTAATCCGAAAATCCGGAATCCGGAATTTGGATTCTATGTGAAAAAGGCTTTGCGTATAAGGGTCATAACCTTGAAATTCATCGAATTCAGAGCTTCATTATTTATTTTTCATGTTAACACTTTTTCACGAATGTTGACCTAAATATGTGTATTATGCGAGACAAGTTGCGAGACTTGCACGTGAAATGAGAAATTGCGAGCTTTTGCGAGAACGAGAAATTGCAAGACGAGACAATGCGAGCATTTGCGAACGCAAGGCAAGGCAAGCATTTATGCAAGACAAGCCAAGACGAGTCCCGAAAATTTCTTGCAAGACTTGCAAGAGTTCTCGTTCTTGCCGAACTCATTGCTCGCGAGACGGAACTCTAGTTTCCAGGTACAAAATGAGAGGTGGAGTAGAAGCCACGTCAACAGCATGTGCGACCGGTCTACACTGCATCGGAAACGCTTTCCAATCGATCCGTTATGGAAACTCTCGACGAGCTCTCGCTGGTGCTGTTGAATGTGCTTTAAACCCCATTGCATTGGCAGGTTTCGATAGGATGAGAGCGTTGGCCAGAGGAGATCAACCATCAATCAGTCGACCATTTGATAAGAGAAGAGCTGGATTTGTGATGAGTGAAGGGGTTGGAGTCGTATTTTTGGAGCGGTTAGAGGATGCAGAAGCACGAGGGGCGCAGATTCTCGCAGAAGTTTTGGGATATGGTATTTCTTCGGACTGTTATCACATATCCACGCCAGATCCATCTGCAATTGGAGCAGTTCTTTCAATGCGGAGAGCACTAGGAAATGCGAGTTTAGATCCTGTTCAGATTGGGTAACTTTTCAAATGTCTTTTGATTCAAAAAACTGCATGGTATAATTCAAATATAGCACCCCACCTCAATATGACCCCCACCTTATGAACAACTATAGTAGAGCCCCCCACCAGTACAAAAATGGGTGGGGGGGCTCTACTGAGGTGTGGGGGGCTGAAGTTGAATTGGTTGATTAAAGTATGACCAAATCCAATCACCCTTGCTAAGAGGGGGTGTTTATTAAGTTGACACTTTTTAACTCACAAATGGTTCTCACACCAATATTGCAGGTTCATGTAGTAGCATTTCGATGCCACGGTGAGTAAAATGAGCAATGGGGGCGGGGCATTCTTTGCATTTCTTTTCTATTTTTTTCCCAGCATGACCTCATTATATAACTCAATTTTTCCTTTTGCTTTAGCTGAATTTACTTATTTGATTTGTATGATTTCCCCTTTCGGTTTTGATTGTTTCGTCGAGACCCCGCAAAC